GCTGTATTTCTGCACAGCTGTACAGAGAACAGGACTGGGGAATTGAGCTGCAACAAAACCAGTGTACCTCTACTATGTCCTCCCTGGGAAAGTTCCCAGACCTAAGGAAAGCAGTGAGAATGAGGTGGATATGTTTCTTTCAGAAACAATGTGGACTTATTACAGTTGAAACAGGTATTATTGCAATCCAGTGTACTACACTGAAAAAAATACATCCTGCTGATCCCTGAGCTCCTTACCCTAGTGGTAACAACGTGGTATTCAGCATTTATAGGGTTTCTGCAGTCCTTTACATCAGACTGTTTTGGCAACTTCATCACTGTCCCTTTTCTCTTGTAATTATAGATGAGAACAGTCATTTATCCTATGGAATTCTGAGCAGTAACTGTGATTGGAAAATGCTTTGAAGATGTAAAGTGTTACGAGAACTACGTATTGTTCTCTCATGGAGATTGATATTCAGCAAAATGGTTTTTACAGATTGAGCTGTGATGTGGAAATGGATAAACAGTGCAGATCTTTTTCTTAATACAAATTGTTCTTTATGAATGAAGGCTGTCTCTCCCAATTCCTAAGTCTTGTAAAATCTGTAGATACTAGCTCTTTTGCAGCTCTGTGTGTCCTGTTGTGGTTGCAGTTGTTCAGACAACAGTTCCCTTGTTTTCACAAGGTTCCCTTTATTTGAATGGAATATGGTAGCACTCTACAGGTGCTGTTTTTGAATGAGTTTTGTGTCTATTGCTGCTTTTTGCTCCATTTAACAGATCTGCTTTCTTTTACCAGGTGTTCAGATCACAGCTCAGTGTTTCTTCAGTCAGTGACCAAGATGCCTGCAGGGCAGGACTGCAGCCAGTTAGCCGGTGGAAAGCCTACGGCCTCAATGGGTACCCAGGTAGGTGCTCTGATTTCAAGAAAAATAATTGCAACATTGTTGTTTCTGATTCAGGCATCCTCCATTTTATCTTTCTTCCCCTATCTGAAAAATCCACTTAGGTTTACCTCAGCATAATTTAATGTTTGTGATGTTGATTTGTTGGGTTTTTTTTTTCTTCTTGTTGGTTTGCTGTTATGTTTTTTGTTTTTTGGTTTTTTTTTAAGTGCAGGAGGACAAACACATCAGTTAAAGGAGGAGATGCAGTGATACATGGAGGTTAGAACAGAAGAACCAGTAGTTTCATGGTATCTTAATCAAACAGACCATCCCTTATGGGAAAGAATCCACATTGCCAAGGCCTTTGATAGAAATGTTATACTTATGCAGCATCAGCTCCTCCTCTTCATATATCATAAACATTAGATAAGTGACTGAAATACAGCCACTTCAGGCCTGAAGCATGGCCCCTATTTACTGGTATACGGGAAGTGAATACTGACCTCTTGTCCTATGTAAGGTACAGAATAATTTTGTTAGGTTCATTGTTTAAATAAACTGAAATTGATACTAGATCTTCAGGTCACTTATTAGAGACATAGAAAGATGTCAGGTTGGGTGGGACTTTTGGAGATCTCTGGTCCATCCTCTCTGCTTTAAAGCAGGGCCAGTTTGAGAGTTAGATCAGGTTGCTGGGAGCTTTGTTTGGGTGAGTTCTGCAAACCTCCATGGACAGAGATTACTTTCTGTGCACTTGATCCAGTGCTCAGCTGTTCTCATTGTGATTTCTTTTTTTCACCTTTTATCTAATCACAATCTGCATTGCTGTAATTTGTAACTTGCTTCCCATAATCTTGCTGTGCACCCTGGAGAAGAATCTGGCTCCGTTCTTCGCAGTTCCTCTTTAAGTAGCTTTTAGTCATATAGGCCAACGTGCAATCAGCCTTAATTGCCACAAGGGTGCACTACTGACTCAGGCTCAATTTGTCCTCCAAGACAAACTGCTTTTATGACAGGCTGTTCTCATTGACACCTGCTTGTCTTACCAAGATTGAGGCTGGAGACCTTCATACTCAATGTGCTGCAGGATTCTGCTGCAGTACAAAAACTGCATTTGTGTCCTCAAGGCAGATTTTATTATTATACAGATCCCCAAGGAATTCCTCTTTTGCTTATTTCACTTGGGCTCTTTCAAGGCCAAAAATGTTGCCTTTGATGCTTGAATTCTTGCTCTCAGTTCTGTGTGTAATTAGCCCTCCGGGCTTCAATTCCTTCATTAGCACCTGGAGGCAATACATCCCTAGTACAGTGTAATTCATATAGGTAGTAAAATGTTTTAAAACTGCACATCAAAAGCTGTTGACAGAAAGGGCAATGTTATTACTCTGTTCTATACACCGGCCAACAGAAAGTAAATTTAATGTTTCTGGCAAAGAAACTTGTTGTAATCAGACCTGTAAGGAAGCTACCTGTAGACTGAAGGTGCAGGGAATAGAATGGAGTGAATGACAGTGTCTTATGACTATACTGAAGGCTCTTTTTCTAACCACTTAATTTAATTTTCTGAGGTCTGTGAGATATGCTGGCAGGAAGATTTTTCCATGCTTTTATTACCGCTTTATAAAGGCCACGAGGCAAGTTTGTATCCTGCTGAGAAACCTAGACTTCCTTCTTCCTTTTTCATCTATTGTTGTCTGTGTGTCTTGATATGACTGCAAGTTCAGAAAGACAGAATAGGGCAAAACCTTGAAACCTCCTTTTCCTTCGTTCCTGCTGTATCCTTATCTTTCTTTGTATGTGAATGTGTTGGTGAGTCTTACTGAATTGGCAGTTTTTGAAAGAAAGCCTTGATTCTCAAAATAAGTATGATACAGATTAATAGCATCTTCTCAGCACTCTCATTCATCAGTGCTGTCAATCTTGTCTTGGAAGGAAACACCCCTGGGGTGTTGGGGAAAAAATCCAGTAAAGAATCCTAATATGCTTGTATCCTTATATATCCTTAAATATAAGACATGCCTAACAATGGCATATCTTATGGCAAGGACTCCTTTCTGTTAAGATACGGACCAAACAGATCCACAGTTACATCTGTGCTAACCCTCTTGTTTGGGCTATTGCTTGAAAGCTGCCTGAAATGCTTGGCTAAATCACTGTGCTCATTAGCTACTTATTTACTTCATTTTGTTGATAGATTTTGCAGTCATTATTAATTAATAGACGACAGCAACGTAGCTGGAATGCAGTTTGATTTTCATTCAATTTGAGTAATACCATGCAAAAGTGTAAAGATTGATATAACCACACGTGCTTGGAAATAAGCACAAAGCAAAGGAGAAAACAGTTTACGTTCTAAGAACTTTGTCCTGTGGACTGCTCTCTGCAGTTCATGACAATGAAGGAGCAATGAAGTAGCAATAAGAAGACAGAATGAGTTCTGAGACTTAATTAATGAGTTCTGAAACGTAATTCCCTTATTTAAAAAACAAAAGTAAAAACACCCCCCCCCAACAAAATTCAAAAATGTGTCAGCATCATGAATACAGAATGCTGATACAGCACAACTTTGTATGCAGAAATGAAACTTGAAAGCTGTACACCGAAAGCCTTGCAAAATTTCTTATTGTGTGGAGGTTTATTATTGTGCTTTATTATCCTTTCCCAGATTCAGGAAAGGGGGGATGGGGAAAAGCTACAAATGGTGCTGTGTACAGGTTTCCAAGCTTAGTGTGGTTATAATCTTTAAGATGTCAGTAGGAGCAGTTTCTGGTTCTGTGCTGGGCCGTGTAAAAGAGGAAGCACTTGGCTTTTGGGATGATGCATGGGGATCTTTGTGAAGTAGAGGTACCCAAGGTGCTTAGTTGAGCTGTGCTCTGCAGCTGGGGAAGAGAGATTGAAGCACTTGGTTAACAAGACTACACTGCAAGAAATGTAGGGAAAGAGGAAAAATGGGACTCTGTTTTAACTATGATGTTTTAAACATCTGCCTGTTGAGTTCAGCTCTTATCCTTGTGTGGATAATGGAAAAACCATACTTTCTCACCCATCCCCTCTACCTTCTTCTTCCTGGTCAGGGTTTATTTTCATACAAAACCCTTTCCTTCCGGGCTGCCAGCGTCACTGGGTGAAGCAGTGTCTCAAGTTATACACCCAGAAACCCAATGTCTGCAACCTGGACCTGCATATGGCTCCTGAGAAGACCGCTGATCTGTGGGGGCAAAGCAAGGAAAAGCTGAGGTGAGTCCCAAACAACCTTTGGTCAAAACTAACAGAGCCAGAAGTGCTCAGCTCTGAGAAGGCTGAATTAAAAATGGCAAGGAAAGGAAGCTGAAAAAGACTGAGTATGTGCTGGCAGTATACAGATCATATCAGACATGCCAAGTTAAAGATGTATCTTTGTGTGATGTGCATCCTTGTTAAGTCTCTTCTTTTACATTAACAATATGATTTTCTAGTAGCAAATTATGCCAAATCTGTCAGTCTAGGGTAAAACAGCAACCCTGGCTGATGTCATGGTGCTCAGAAGCTTGCGAAGCTCAACTACAAGTGGAACCATGAGGTCTCCTTAAACCTCAGTTTTTCTGAGGCAAAGTGGATCCTTTCCAAACATGCTGTGCCTGCTAAGCTCTTCTTTCCAGTCAGCTGCTGGATCTACTATGCTGTAATTGAAAAGCTGTACGTTCACTTTTGTGTATATGCACTCAAATTGACCAGTTTCCATGTTTCGATTTTCAGATTTTTTCTTTCATCCAGTCTGAGATGGCAATTAAATGTGTGCCATTTTAATGTCAATCTTGTTTACTCTGAAAGATCCCCACAGGATCAGAGTTCTGTAGCAGACAAAGCTGCCTTTCTTCTACCCAATTTGGAGATTAATGGAGAATTTGTCCAAGTTTTAAATTCAAACAGGAAACGTTAAAATCTAAGCTTTTTTAAAAAATAATAATTGTAAAAATAAAAGGAAGTTAGATGCTGTTTACAGTATACAATCATTATTTATCATTGTTGATTTAATTGCTTATTTTTGATAAGGCTGTGTCATGTGCTGGAGTGACCAGATTTCCCTGCAGCTCTCATCTTTTGCTACAGCCTGTTAGGAAAATGGATGTGCTGAGATTTTTCTTAAAAAAAAATAAAATAAAATAGAATTCTTAACATCCAGAAGAAATGGATTTGCCAAAGCAAAGTTTGAACTTCTAAATATTCATACCTGAGACAGAAGTTAGACTGCACTTGAGTCTTCCAGGCTCAGTTGGAATTTGTTACAGAAGTTCAAATGCCTTTTTTTTTTTTTTTTTCTTCCATCACATATGAAAAAAATATTCTTGGAAAGCACTGTGGACTGTGCCCTACAGCTGGAAAAGGTTGGGTACTATTCCAGCTTGACAGACCTTTCCCAGCAGTACCTCCTGCACACCTGGAATGATCAGAACAGAGGTTAATTTGCAGCTGAATCTAGTTCAGTTGAAAAGAGCAATTGGAAGAGCAATGGCTGGCAGGAACACCATGTTTTATTAAGCATTCGGCTTGCTCTTTACATCTGCAAGCTGCTGTATCTATGCTTTACCTAGCAGGAAGCAGATCAAACTAACAAACTTGTCTGGTATTAGGAGTGAGAACTTTTCAGAGAGTTGAGAAAAAGCATGCTTAGCTAGAAGGAGGTCAGTTGCTAAAGCTTTTTATCTTTCCATCTTCTTCTTCAAGGCTTTTTAATCTTCCATCAGATAGATACCTAAGTGTGCTTGGATCATAACATATCTGCTGTTTGCAGGAATCATAAGGTAGGGAGAGTCCATACAGTTCCTAGAAATGTACCTAGAAATGTAGCTATGCTCTCTCTGCAAAGTGGAGGACTTAAAGTGTAGAGGACGCATGTCCTTGCGAGGGATACATATGCCTGCATATGTGAGAAAACAGTTGGGAGGATTTTATGGATGGAATCATTTATCAGTAAGTAAAGAAAAAAAAGAATGCTTCAGAGCATCTCCCCTCATAATCTTCAGTCTTGCTCTCTTTCTAACATAGCTTAGCCTGAACTTCACAGTGTCTTCTTGCAGGAGCACCTCTGCTACAAGCTTAGGAACTCATTGTTTCCAAATACGTAACACCCCAGTCTTTCCCCTTCTAATCAATCACCTGTGAAATCATGTGCAAAATAATAAATTCTGGGAATCCGGACCTTCTGAGCTACTGTTCCTGCTTCTGTGTGAACATTAACACAGTAGCTAAAGAAGATGAAGGGCATTTTCAGAAGGCAGGTGAAAAAATGTTTAATTATGAACATTAATTTACTGTTTGGAAGATGCAGAGGAATGAGTTGTGGCCTCTCAATTTTCTAAATGTTGTTACTTGTTGGTAGGCTCCATAAACTGTTCCAAGCAACATGCATTTGATGCTTACTGTATTGCTGCATTATGGCAATTACAGTTGCTATTACCTTGTGACAAAGAAGGAAACTGGAAAGATGACTTTCTTTCAAGATTCAGTGAGCTGTGAAAAAATCACTACAGGTAAAGAAACTGGCCTTTAATTCCTGTTCCCAGCTTAGCTTACAAGCTACTAATACTAAAGATCAATAAAGTGAAGGGCAGAAACAAGCTGTGTATCCAGTAGAAGCGCATGCTGAATGCACATGCTTGGCTGACACTTGACCATGGCAGCACAGATACCATTAATTCAGTTTTGTAAAGATCATGTCTTGCTGAACTAATGAGGCTGTAAATGAGAGCCGACCATCTGGCACTACTGTTCAATTCTGTCTCATCCTTTCCTTTCTTTCTTTATCATATCTCACGACTAAGCATGAGAAAAGAAACTGAAATTTCTGGTGTAAGTGGACTAGGAGATACGTCTACCTTCTTTTCTGTATTTGTCACTAGCATGCTTCTGTTTGATTTACTACAGTAGTACTCTGTGGTGTAACTTTGTGAGGACTTTTCTTTAAGCCATAGTAGAAGCCCGTCCCTGAGGTCTCTTCCTGCCTTCCACATCTTCAAGTATGAAGGGAAAATAGTTGTGAGCTTACAGGTCACTGCATTAGGGTTATCACTTGAGGAAAACAGTTTTGTATGCATTATGCTGCTCTTTCCTAAAAAAAAAAAAAAAAAAAATCGAGAGTACTTTTGGTCCTCTGTGACATCCTGGATAGAAAACACCCATAGTCTAAATTCCTTGACATTACAAGATGCATATAGTCATATCTGAAGTCACCTTACAGAACTAATTCATCCTAAGGGCTTCTTGTAAAAGTACCGAGCAGCAGAACTAATGGCCTCTTGCTTAGGAGAGTGTTTTACAGCTTCATATACTTCACTGTCAGCTAACACATTTCTCTTGTAATTCTCCATTAAGTGCCTGAAATATTTCATTCTTGTGTTTATACGTTTTAGATCTTTACAGATTCTTTTTCAGCTGCACAAATAGTACATGCTTAATTCTGACTTAAAAGTGTGTGCCAGTTCACTGTGTTTTCTCTGTATGATATCCCAGCTTAGGCACCAGAGTACAAACACAACAGCAATTGGCAGTAGACTCCACAACTGGTGCAGGTTGAATGAACTGAATTTTTCGTTCTGAAATGCAGTTCAGAAACAGAAAATTCAACAATGAACAGTGGCATAAAAGGAAAATGAAAATAAAAGTTTAGCACTGATGGTTTTAACAGGCTGACGTGGATGAGTGAATCTCATTACTGCACACTATAGTATCATGAAATCTCTCAGAAATTAGCATGTATCCTGTTTCTTTCAATTTTGTCTCTGCAGAAGGAAAGGTTCCAGTAAATGTGAGCCCAGAAGCTTACTGGAGAAGTTGCGCTGGGTGACCCTTGGTTACCATTACAATTGGGATACCAAGGTATTGCAATTTAATTCCTTTCCATTTCTTTTCTTCAATGTAAGTGCTCAGGATTGCAGACAGAAAGAGGGTATTATGGAATAAAATTTAGTAAGGTTCACAGGATCCTACACAACAGTCTGGAGGAAGGGCTGTAACACCGTGCTCTTAAGAATGTTTTCACCTTTTTGGATTCACTGTGGAGGATTTGACAGCAAAAGCCCATTGCTGCCTTCTTTGCTTCAGAAGGTAACACAGTAGCATGTGCTTGGCTGTAGACCTGTGACTCCATTTCAGCATAAGTGAGCATTTTTACCTTTCTAAAAGGGAATGTATCAAAAGCACTTGGAGCAAGATTGACCTTCGTGTTTGAAGACAGGTACTTCTGAGAAATGCTGCTCCTCAGTGGAGGGATGAGAGCAGGAAAAGTCTGCTTAAGATGCAACTTTGAACTTACAACCTGAACCAGTATAGTACAGTCTCACCAACTAACAGCTATTCTGGAGCTCCTCAATAATGGAGACAGATAAACTTGTTCAGCAGATTGAGTCAGATAGAGGCTGAGACAGGACAGCAGGGTGCTTATGTATAGTCTATCAGTGTATTACAGACACTTAAGCAAATCAGATTGCAGCCTTATATTCAGATATAAGATATATATATATATATCTTATATATATATCAGATCTATCTTATCTATATATCAGATATATATCAGATCAGCATATTATTTTGAGGCCTAAAGAAAACTTGATTACTCCCTTTCACTCTTGTCAGTCAAAATCACTGGAGGAAGAGAGGGAGAAGTGGGTTTGTCTTATCCTTCAAAGGAGCGAAGATGTTTGTTTAAGAGCTCTGAGATGAGCTCTGTTGGTAAGATACAGAACTCTCAATTAGCAGAATTAGGTGGTGACTGAATGACCTAGGTAAATCCTCACGATGTTCGTATATCAACTTCAAGTGTAATTATAATGTTCAACTCCATTATTAAAATGAAAGACTGTTAATTCAGGCAGATTCAGCATAGGCCTAGCATTAAATGATTTGAGGAAAACTTCTTTTGTCATACCTATGTTGTAGTCCTTCTTTATGACTATTGCCAGATTTCTGAGATATGATTTGTTGTTTATTTCCGGTTGCATTTGCTGTTCTGATGTTCTAGGTTTGCTCTTTTTGTGTTTTTGTTTTGTTTTTTTTTTCACTTTCCTTCCTCCAGAAGTACTCAGCAAATCATCACACTCCTTTCCCCTCAGACCTTGCATTCTTGTCAGAACAAGTGGCTGCAGCCTGTGGATTCCGGGGTTTCCAAGCCCAAGCAGGGATCTTGAACTATTATCACTTTGATTCTTCCCTGGGAATTCATGTAGATGAGTCTGAACTAGACCATTCTCGTCCCCTTTTATCATTCAGGTGAGTCCATTTGAGTGTTACTGAAGGCATGGTGGATTTACTTATTTATTTGTTTTTACCATGATCATATATGGTTATAGGAAGTTAGTATGATGCGCTTAGTTAATTGAGCATATAATTATTCTCCAAAGACCTGAATTTTGGGAAGCTGTAGCTCACGGACATAGGTTGCTTGAAAACTGCTTGAATAGTATGGATGTGGCATCTCAGTGGAATTGCTGTCAGTACAGGGCACGGTTATGTTCTAAAGCAGCAGAGTGGCAATTTGGGTACTAAGCAACAAGCATGAAATACCTCAGCAGAGCAACTGCTCACACTGTGTCTAAAGTAAACTAGTCCTCTTGGTCTGTTTTCCATGTTCTCCGTGTTCTAACAAGGAGTCCATTGGCATTTTTGGTGTAGTTTGTTTTTGTTGTTGTTTTCTAAAGAAATGCAGTTGCTGCTAATATTTTCCTATTGTACATACAATTTTCTCTACCTCAATTTGTTTTCTCTCTCTATCCTCACACCATTTTTAGTTTTGGACAATCTTCCATATTTTTACTTGGGGGCCTGAAGCGGGAAGAGGCCCCAACAGCAATGTTCATGCACAGTGGAGATATCATGGTGATGTCTGGCTTCAGCCGTCTGCTGTACCATGCTGTCCCCCGTGTCCTTCCCAACCCTGAAGGGACAACTCTGCCTTCGTGCCTCGACCAGGCACTTTCTACAGACCTTCCTGTTGGCTCAGTCATTGAGCACAGCTCTGATGAGGATTGGCAGGTCTGTGCCAAGTACTTGCAGTCTTCCCGTATCAACATGACTATTCGACAGGTGTTGGCTGAGGGTCAGAAATTTCCAGAGGAGTCTGCGACAGAGAGTCGGGTACCCTCGGAAGACAGTCACCATCAGGAGAACAGCAGAGCCAAGAGACGTAAACCAAATATGGACAGCTGAGACCCAAAGATTGTGCTAACGTGGACCGAGTGGACAAGCTCAGTTGTACCAGAAGTCTTTGTCTATACAGGCATTCAGAAACAGCTGTAGAATAAAGCAGTCCTTGCTGCTGTAAGGAAGAGGTTGGGGTCTGGGATGAAGAAATAAAACAAGAAAGAAGGATAAATTTAGGACTAGGACTCAGAAGATGAACTTTGCTGTGGGCATTTATTGTACTTGGTTCCCTTTATGATGTATTCTCTGCAGCTTTCTGATCTGTATGCCAGAACTGTAAGCTTGGTTCAGTTATGTTTGTAAAATATTTTGAAATAATTGGGCAGAAAGTGCTAGCAAATGATACCGTTGCTATTTATTAAAGAAGCCAATCAGGCTAGTAAAGCTCAGCTGGAGTGCGTTAACAAATGTGAGGGAGAGTAGGTTGCTATGAAACCTACCTGCAGCATTTCCAAGTGAATTACTTCTACTGCAAAAACTGGTTCAGTGATCAGAAACTAGCAGCTCCCTTGAGCAACACATGGTAAGCTTGTTCTAGCCTTGTGCTCTCCTTCTGCCTGCTTGCAGCCCCCCCAGCTGCAGCAGAAAATGATTTTGAGTGGATCTGGACTTCTTGCATACCTCAGCTTTTAAAGGGAAATGACATGGGGCAGCATTAGAATACCATTTGAGTATGTCCTATACTCCCATTCTTTCACATCTGCCTCCTCTAAGTGCCTGCAGATTAGGGTCCTGCAGCCTCAAGCTAGTATCTGTAAGTTACAGAATGTCCTCCAAGTAAAAGCAATGAAGTTGTAGACTGAGTACATAAAAAAGAAAATTATCAGTATCTCTGCACAAAGATATACTGAAACAAAGAAAAGTACTGGCTTTTGTCCTCTTTACGACTCAGACCTTCCTATCGATTTTTTAATGCAATTTTAATTGTTGGAGTGGAATGCTCTATCCCTAGGGTATTTTGTTGCACTTTCCAATGAATAAACTTACTCCGTTTTTAAATTAAAGATCTTTATCAGTTTGGGGCTTTTTTCTTTTTATTTTTCTCCCTGTTAGTTATTTCAATGTATTGTTCATGCTGTTGCTGCATCCCTTGTACTGTTTCCTCCAGGCATCTCTTAGATCTATTGCTCTGCCATCTGCCAGCTCTGGCAGAGAAGCCCTACGTGTATTTCTGCAGGGCCACTTTGCTTAAGAGCTCTTTTGGGCTTGTCAGATAGTTCCTGAGTGGCACAGCTTGCGGTATCAAAGTCCAATTTAGTGTATATATGGCATCTTTTCCTCACAGGAGTGTGTTTGATTTGCTTAATTCACTGCAGGTGAATATTTGTGTGTGCATCTGTATGGGAACTGCTGAATCATGGCCTGAACCTCTGATTGATCAACTGAAGTGAGCTATGAGTCAGCCATGGAGCACAGGTGTAGGCAATTCACCTGTGCTGCCAGAAGGGGTGGAGCCTGGCTGCACCTCTCCTAGACACATTTAAGAGCTGACTGCCAGCGGGGAAGGTTCTCTTCTGGAGATCCCTCCTCTGGAGTTTTCCAGCAAGCCCAGGACGCGGGTAGGCTTTCTATCTATTCTCTTTTTGTTATTATAATCTGCTTTGCCTAACTCTCTTGTTTATTTCATAATTTTAACATCTTTATATTCATTGATTATACAGCATCTGTACAGCTAATTCTGCATACAATACTGCAATGAGTTCCATTAATTTAGTGAACAAAATAATCAGATATGGTGTTTAGTATCTTACTTCCAAATTCCGTGCCAGAAGAGTATCCTTTCTATGTCCTAGGTAGGTTACGTGTAGTTACAGCTAAGCCCTTGAAGTTTGAATACCGTTAAGAGAGAGGTTACAATATGACCAGAAGAGAAATGTTAACTCTCTGGGAAGGTCTGGGAGAGTAGCTGAGGAGCTCCATTAGTGGCTTTAGATGGAGACAGGGAGGGGAATGCTCATCTCCCTTAGATGAGATGAAAAGGCAAACTCTGTTCTTAACTCAGAAAAAAATGTAAAACTTACCTACACCCTTATCACTGAAGCTGAAAGAAGAGGGGATGCGTGGATTTAGACAGTTAAAAACTAAACCTGACTGAACCAGGCTGAGATTGGAGTATCTTTACATTTTCATTTCTCAAATGCCTTCAATTCCCTACAAATATGATAGATCATAGAATGGCTTGGGTTGGAAGGGACCTCAAGGATCATCAAGCTCCAACCCCCCTGCTACAGGCACGGCTGCCAACCTTCATATCTAATACTAGACCAGGCTGCCCAGGGTCCCACTCAACTGTGACTCGAGAACAAGAAATCGTACTATTTGAAACTGTAGTAAATGCTGAAACACAGCAATAACTATTATTGATGTCCATCCCAGCTTTTTATTTAGATATGGCTGTGCTGAAAACCTGAGATACAAACTTGCAGTCAAGCTTACTATCTAATGCTACTGTGAAATACACTCAATATAATTTTGTAAGACACCCACAAAAAGAACAAGAAATGGGCATATCAGAAATGACCCCAAAGAAATGAAGTCATCCATGTATGAAGACTAGGAATATAAAATGGAAGAACTTCCTGAATAGCTGTTAATAACAGCAGTGTTAAGTCTGCAACTGTGCTCGCAGCAAACAGTAGAGTACAGATGGACAAACCACAGAACTTCTACAAATTATAATCCTGAACATGGTTTTGAAAAAACAACATCCCTTGAATGACAGAGTAATGAGCCTCCATCCAATAAGTACTCCACTAATTTTTCCTTCAGGGCAGAATGACTAGAAATCAGTGGCCAGGTCAATACCAATAACAGGCTGTGGCGTTTGCACTTTACCTGTTAAGGTTTGCAATGACTCAATAGGATTTTTCATAGCCCTAATTTTTTATATCAATCAATACCACAAACATTTGCCTCTATTCAGAGGAGTACATGCTGAGATAATCTCTGTAAGTTCCTTTTTTTTTTTTTAGAAAGAAGCACTGTCCAAGTGCCACAAGCTGAAATGCTTCAGTACCATAGGTGTCAGTCTTCTAGGATGCCCTGCTGTGTGCAGTTGAGAGGAAGGAAAGAAGAGGTCATCTAGTCTAGCTCTGCAAGAAAATGTATGTAATAAGCTAATTACCACAGGATAATGATGTGTTTAATTCAACTCCACCTGGAAATGAAACATCTTGTTTAGCGTATGTACTCTGTTTACTGTGTGATCAATAGATAAACTATCTGTCCAAAAGAATATAAACAACCACTGATACATATTTTTTAATGTTCTACAGTAAAGGAAAAATAAAATCTGCAGTTAAATCAGAATCAATGTACAGTGGGATAAATATTGGAAGTAGAAGAAAAAACTGCCTGTACAAACCTAGCATTTTATTGCACCTGATAATACTGTGCTAGAGAAATCCACTGTTATCAACGGGGCTGCACAGTAGTGCCCAACACAGATATACTGCATGTCTTTTTTCTTGACAACCAGGCAGTAACTTACTGGCAAAGCAGTCCCTAGAGCTGTGCCTGCTGCCTTAAAGATTCTGCTCTTAGGTATTTTTCCTTTGAGAGCTTGTTGATGTTTTTTTCCCTCAGTGTTCCATGTTAGATAAAAGATGGACCTAAGGAGTAAAATGGATCTAACCTCTGCTGTTTATGCTTTGCTGAGCTAGTATATAGGAGAAGCTGGTGGATGGGGAAGAAGCTGGTTAGTAAGAAATACCCACATAGCAGCACAGTATCTCAATCTTACTGTCGTGCCTGTAAGTCCAGGTTGAAACTGGCTTGCATTTTACCAACTTCAGACAAGAGCTTGCATTTATCTTCACTTACATAGGTCACTGCCATTCTCTGCATTACAGCTCAAGCAGGACAGATTTAACACAAAGAAGAAAGTAATTAGTGACAAGACTTATTCCTATTCAATGAAGATAAAAAATTGAGTTACAACTCAGTGAGCTCTAAGCTTACTGTAGTTCCGATGAAATCAGAAGACTTGCCTACATCTGAACGTGTTACATCAAAAAGTTAACAGATGTACACTGAGTGTGGGAATTAATGATCCAGAAAAAGAAGTTGCTGGAGGCCTCAAAAGACCACTACATTAAAAAGCTTTGGACTGTGCCAATGCCTCTATGCATTGTAATAACCCAATCTAGTTGATCTGGTACAAGAGCACAAGATGCTGTTGACACAGTTTTAACATGGTGCAAAATAAGTTCAGCTGTTTATACTTAGTAAATGACAATCACAAATACCTTAAAATAACTTTCCTATGCAAACAACTGAAGACTGTCTAATAATACGTTCACATACACTATAATGGAGTTGAGATAAGATCAAAGTAGCCATTGTGTGAGTTACAGCTTAGCTCATACAGGTCTTTCCTTGCATCAATTGATACCTGTAGTCAATGGGCTACAGAAACAGTGCTTTTAAGGCATCTCTAGAATTCTCATCCAACCTCCCTCTGAAAGAGTACTGTTGCCAACAGATTATCCATGCTAGACTTTGAAACCTCCCACTATGATGACTGCCGTTTCTTTCAGTAACCTGTACCAACGCTGCCCCCCTCACCTTATGAAGAAGTTTTGTCTTATGTCCTGCCTGAGTTTCCCAAAACACCCTTTCTTTCCCTTGCTTTTCTCTTACCATCTACTACTACCACTAAGAATTTGGTTCCACTGCCTTTGTAACTCCTCAACCTTTGGCCTCCTCTGTGCCACACAGAAGAAGGACTCAATGCCCACATTTACTTGCACATCATCTCCCCTGCGTCCTTGGCTCCTTTGTAACCCTCCTCTACACCTTTTCCAGTTTCAGGCGGTAGACCAGCCTCTCAGCTAGTGCTGATCTCTATTACAAACAAGGTGCCAACAACAAATGAATGACTGAATCCTAGTTCCCAAACTCACTAGATTCACTTAAATGCACTGGATGGATAGGGTGTTTTGTTTTTGGGGTCCCAGTGGACAAAGTAACAATCTGAAGTGCCAGAGTAATTCTAGCCCAATTAGCTCTATCCCCATCCAGTTCCTGCTATTTTAAATGTAAGACCCATCTTAGGAGGCTCTGACTATGCACAGAGATGCTGAAGGAATTAACCAGCTAGCCATGCATCTCTCTAAGGTGTAAGTATTTAGAGGACAGCAAGGAGTCAGATCCAACTTTTATTCACATCCAAGAGTTTGTGCTCAGATAGGTACCACAGAAAATATCTACTGCATCTACTACTACAAGGAAAAGGACAGGGGATGAAGTGTAAAAGTCTACAGTAGCTTTCCCTCTCTTCAGAATAGAGAATATGATTACTCCACATCAGTACAGTGAAAGTTCGAACTTCGAACCCTATTTAGGCATTTCCCATCTTATTTCCATTCCATCTCTGACTTTTTCCTATATTGTTCCTATGTTGCTGATGAGCACCTTCCACAAAAACTCCCATGTGCAGTGGACTGTACCCTGTATGCTACCTGGGGGTTTCTTTGGGTTGACTCCCTTTTTGTGCCTGTAATAACACAGCTTAGCACTATTGTGAAATGAACCGAATGGTAGAGTCCTCCTTCACGGTCCCTTGATGCTTATTAACTCAAGTGCTCAGTTCTGTTGACTGAGCCAAAGGAGGACATTTGCTCGTAACAGCTTTTCTAATCACCTTCATGCACTGATCTCAAGGCTCTTCCAAGACCATTACTCTTTGGAAAGTCACAAGCGATGTCAAGTTATAGCCAAACACGCTAAAACTGAAATAGAATTAAAGCAAGGTACAAAGAAACATTCACCACAGAGAGAATAAAAAGTGAATCAGGTGAGAAGACACTATTCCTTTATTCTTTCATGTTGGGAAGTCAGCACTTCACGCTTGCTTTTAGCTTCCTTCTAGGTGAATTTAAAACTCATTCTATATTTACTGAGAAAGGCCAGAAGAATCAATAAAAGGCTCGGCTTTCTAGACCTGATCTTCTCACCAATCATTTCTGTCTCTGTTCTGTGCTAAGGGCTCAGATAAGAAGGCTTTGTTTTTGTTTTCAGTCTCCTTAATGGATAGGTTTCTTAATTACGATGGGGGAAAAATGACTGCAATTTTGCAGTGGTAAATTAAAATCAAAATGAGGTAGCAAAGAGCAGGGTCTGGAGGGGAGGGGTGCAATCAGAAACAGCTATTGATTCTGAAATGATGGAGGAGGCCAGGGGAGAGCATACAGACTGGAAAGGAGACTCATCTTTCAAGTGCTGCTCTTGCATAAAAACAATCAGGCAGCGGTGTTGGTTGTTGCTGAAACTTTAACATTAGCTTTGTTCTCAATCTGAATTTAAATTTTGGAAACACTTGCCTGTTCATAAGGGGCTGGCTCCTCACATGAATCTTGAGATGATGGAAACCTGAGTGTGAAGAAACTTTTAGTTGTAGCAGTAATAACAAAATATTTGGAAATAATTTATTCTACGAAAAAACATCACTGTTCACAGCCAAGTAGGCAGAGAAAATGCAACATCTGTATGCCGAGTACAGGACAAGCTGCAAGATCTAACACCCTTCTCACTCACAGTTATTGCATAGGATGTCCCAGCTTTTCTTGAATAGAGAGGACTGATCTGGCATTGTCTTACCTCGTTGCAGTGACTGAGACCAAGTGTGGGCACAGCTTTCTGCCACTCCAGACAGCACACTTTCATATATTGTGGCCTTTTTCCCTTCAGCTTTTCAGCTGTTCCTTTAACAATGAAATCAGATGGTAGCCTGACATTTTGTCAAATACAGCTAGCACCTGGACAGACTGTGCAACAGTACTAATCTTCTAATAACTGGTTTGTCTGACTGTTCTCATTGCTGTGATGAAGCCTGACTTCATAAAAATGCTGATTATCAGGTGTTTGGGGCATAGAATCAGGAAGATTTTGACCCCACTATTGCAAATAATATTCTAAATACAGCCATTCCAAATACAGCTGAATGCTTCAAATAAATAAGGCTCTATTTTCAGCACAGACAGCTGAAAACACCTTGGAGGTCCTCTGAAAGCAAGAGGTTTGTTGCACCATGCAGGAGACATCTCTTCCACTCTTCACACTAACACTGGTCTACAAAATCCTCATCCCAATGCTGGTGACAACATGGTGTTTCTCTTGCTCCTCCCACAGGGGCTGGCATTTTGTATGACTATGTCCTTGTTAATAAGCCATTTTCCTCTCATTCTCCTCCAAGCAGTGCAACAAAATCTGTTATTTTCTCACTTCCTCCATCTTTGTAGCCACGGTTCTGCCATGTCACCTGTACCCTGCCTGACTCCCAGCAGCAGGGATAATTATCTGGCAGTGAGAACTCCTCATCCTTGCCTAATACCCTGTCCTCACTTGAGAATGGCAGAAGCACACCTTTCCAACGACTGTATCTGTGGCTGCTCCTGCCTTTGACAGCTGATCCTGGATATCAAACTGAAGTGCAGGACAGACATTTCTAAGCCCTTCCTGGCTGTCATTGTGCTCTAGAGAAATCTGGATTTGGCACAGTGCTTGGATGCTTCAACACTTACCTGGGCCAAAAATGGAATCAGTCCACAGATATCTCCCTCATCATCACAGGAGTTCTACGCAGCACAGCAAGTCTTGTATATTCTTATCACTACCACTGTCTAATTCACTGTCAGTTCTTTTCCTAGGACAAAAAAAAGGACAGAAGTTAAAAGGAAGAAAGATTCCAGGTGAGCAAACATAAGAAGTGAAGATATGGCATGCTTCTGAACTCTATGACCTACTTACTCTTTCCCTGAAGCTTCAATGATCACTGCTGCTTTTTAGGGAACAGCAGAGGCTACTTAATGCTGAAGGCTGCAATCCCTGGCTCCACAGATCTCTAATGCCTCCTCTTCCTGGTATTCACACAGGAAATGCTGCTTTTTCAGGTGATATGGAACCTACCAAGAAACCCTGTATCCTATTCTTTGATTAAGTGTGCAGGTACTCAGTGTTGTTATCATTGGATATTCTTTTCTGCAACAGAAAAGCAGGAGAGAGAGAGAAAAATATTGGTCAGTGTTGCTTAATTGAGATCTAATAGCCAAGGTCAGTGCTAAGCCAAGAATAGACAGCAGAAGCCTCCCATGATATATTTTTGTGATGAGATGTTCATAGCACACAGACTGATCTATTATTGGTTTTCACCATGAAAAATTTAGCTATTGCCTGGAATATTCTCAAATCTATTTTGCATTATTTCCTTGCTTTTTCATTTAAAAATATGTTTCTAATGAGACCTCATGACTGTGTGAATTAGCAAATCTCTGCTGAGTAGAGAAATTGCTTCACATTGCACAATTGCAGCTATATGTTCTTCTGCCAGACCTCTGCAAGATGACAAAACCTGTTTATCTGAGTCTAGCATGCTCTTCTGGGCTAGAAACAAAAACCTTTAAAGGGAAAGGTGAAGACTCAATTGCCAATGTGCACAGGCACATCTGTGAGGAAGAGCACTGAGCAGTTGCCTCTAGCAATGTTCTGCACATCTGTAATGTTACAGTGCAACAGAAGGAATGTGATGGTCTACAGCACCTCTCTGGTATTATGTGGCACTTCAACCTACAGACTGGCCCGACCACCTACTCGCCTTGTTCTTTCCAATATTTGCATACAAGTCTGTAAAAGATGCATCAGTGCTCCTCCCCAGCCCAATCATTTCCAGACATCTTAGGCTTCCTCCATTTTTTGTTTTCCCCTCCGCAGATCACAAAGCATCCTGCTCAAATCTTTAACCGAGAACACAGGAGGGAGATGATTCACATGACCTCACAGACATGTGAATACTAAACCTAGAGAGCTGATGAAAGAGTTAATTCCTCTGAAGATGAAAGGAATAAGGTCTCTGAGGAATGCATCTTAGTACATCTATTCCCTAGAAGATGCTGCTCTACTTTCTCTGCCAGCGTCTATAGCACAGGATATGGTCCGATCCTACTCAGTAAGAACAGAGAACACAGTCTGCATAGGCATCACAAAAAACATGAATACAATAGGTGCAAGGAAGCATTGTCTTCTGGTGCACGGTTACCTTGTGTCTACCTTAGAGCCTTCTAATACCTATCACTGGAGAGCTCCAAGCTCCTATTGCTGCTATGGTTGAAGCTGTTCACTGTGATGCTCCCTAGAGCACCTCTCTTGCAGTATGGGTGCAAAGTCCTCCAACAGACAGCTCTCTGCGCACACACACACACTATGTACCTAACAACTGCCAACTGGCTCACTTCACTGCTCCTGAGAACACTGTGTGGATGATGATCATAGCGGTTCAAACCACAGTTGTTCCGTTTCTGTACTGCACCAGCAACTAGTGTGGAAGGTGCCCAAATAGCAGCCCTCTTTTACTACACCCCCATGTTCCCCACTTCTTCAGTCCAGAGAGAGGGCAACACAATCCTCAAACCTTCTTGTAAGAGGAAGATTGGGTCCAGGCCTTCCAGAACAACATGCAAAAATAAGTGCCTAGGAGCCTGGCATCTAGCATGGAAAGGAGAGGAGAGTGTGGTCGCCATGGTAATGCTGTGCCTCATTTAACTGCAAAGCAACCTCTCGTGTCCTTACATGCAGCCATTCCCACACATCTGCCCCATGCATAGCACAGGCAGCAGACTGCACATGTAACCAGACACAGGCATTGCCCCTCTGCCTACATCCGCCCCACACAGGGAGGGCACGGATATATTGTAACCTGCACTATCCCTCATATATGATGCACACAACACATACTTGCTGAGCAACACACATTCTCTCAGCTCTCTCCCACTCATGCACTCTCTGTCTCAAGAGAACGAGACAGACTTACAGTCTCAGCTCCTACAGCTATAGGCCCCTCTGCTGCGTAGGTATAAGATGCTTTATAAGCACAAAATCAATCAGTCTGCCAGCCACCAAAAGCTGCAGACTCTTTGCCTCCCTCAGCCTTGCCACAACACCTGACTATGGATCCTATGCAGATTATTTTTGGATGCATTTTGTTTCAGTTCCATGGGATGAGCACAGAATAAAGGCCCCAGGAAACTGATTTATAACAAGGCCATATGCCACTGTGCAGTACAAAACCCAAGGGAAGCTGATGGTTAGATCACTTGGTGCTTCAGATTGGATCATGCTGCACTCACTTCTTGTCAGATAACCATAGGAAATCAACATCAATCCTGTTTCTCCTCAACATATCCTATGGGTACCTGAAGGAAAATCCAACTCCCTGCTGATAGCAGGAAAGCACAAGCACAGCAGCAACTCATTTCATAGCAAGAACAAAGTAGGTAGGAGCTGTGAGCAGCATCCCTACCCCCCTACCATGCAACAGACAGGTATCAACAGATATCAGGTAACAGTCAGCTGTCATAACAAACCATTCAAACTCAGCTTTCATTTACATCACCAGACAGCCTGGAGTCCTATCCAGAGATGCCACTGTCACAACATATTCCATGAGTTCTTCAAGAAGGTACTGGCATAGCTAGAGCTTAGGCAGTGCCACTGTGGCAGGTACAGACCAGCCCTCGGTGAGTTCAGGCAGCAAGTAGAAACTTCTCAAACACACATACATGGCAGCTCCAGCTAACAGGGCCTGTTGGGCCCGGCAGGCACAAAGTTGCTGGAGCCTGAAGTTTCTGTATCACACAGTACCAGTGTCCTTTTCTGCTCTATGCTGCAGAGAGTTTTAATCAGCCCTTGGCAAATGACTGGCATCTAGCAAATGATGAGGTAGCTCATACTGTACCAGCCACTGGGGTCCAAGCAGTTGCAACCACATTCCATTGCCACTACTTTGTTTGTGTGCTCTACACACGTGGCTTCTAAAATGCTCAGAAAACTGCCCCAGGTAATGTCTCCTTAGACTGCAGGCAGGATGCCTGCCCATATTCTGTTCTTCGTAAACCTCTCAAGCTCCCCCTGCTTACTTCAGCCCACTTTTGAGAGTGTGATCCAGTTAATGGAAGAGTGACCTGATGTACAAGCACACAGCTGAAGTAGATTTCCCTACCTGCTGGCTCAGCACCTCTGGACAAGGTGGCCCCAGTTATCTCAGTACTGGTCAAGATTGCACAGCACATCCTCCCCTCTCTCCAAGAAGGGATAAGCACATAATTCCCATGCATCTCCTTTCTCCGTTCACTCCCATCTTCACTACCTGTATGCCTGACTATACCTGACCTCGGGTACCTCTCTGAAAGCAGAGACCCCATGTGCAGCCCCACACAGAGGTAGAACCCGGGAAGGGTCTCTGCAGCCTGCAGAGCCTACATACAGCCAACCAAGCTGACATCGCTCTGGCACAGAGAAAGGCATCTAATGTCTGAGCACACACTTCCCCCTTATGGCTATGTCTGATATAGCAACGGCCCAGACCTGCAGCACCTTTGCCAGGCTTGTGATTTTCCCATGAATGTTGAATATCTTTCTTACACTTGCCACACACACATCTCTCCTTCTTCTGCATTAGGGGAATAAACACAGAGCCACTTTTACCAGCCTGTTTGGCTGATGCAGATCAACACACACGGTGAGCAGCACAAGAAAGCAAGACAACTCCAAGCACTCAGTATGTGTCCTGCCTCAGATGTCACACTGTCCCTCTGACAGAATCTTAAGCATCTATCCCTGGTTCTGGGGCACACTTCCCCTACTGGAACGTCTTTCCTTTCCCCAGATTAAATACAGCTTTTACTTTGATTTTGAATTGAAAGTTTTTAAGTAGATAGTTATGATTAATGATTCTGTTCAGTTTCTCCCTCTCCCTCCCATTGCACTGCATGGCTAAAGTCTCTCTCTTCTTATCTGAGTAATAATGTCTTTATCAAAAAGAGAATCAGCAGTCTTTATAAGTCTTCTGGTTTCCAGTGCCCATCTTCTTCTCTGGACTAAGCTTCAAGTAGCTGTTTCTCTCTGTTCTCCCATCACCCCAAATACCATATTTGTAATTCAAGAACAATTTGCTTCACAGGAAAGGTAGTTTCCTCTAACATCTACCCTATGACCACCTTACCCTTCCCCCACTCACCTCTTATTTCTGTTCACTGCTCTGAAGGAAAATGAGTCAATTTTCTGGCTGATTCTTTTCTGCTGGATCATTGAATTGAACTGACCTGTTGCAGATGGACACTGAGGTACTGCATGCTTCACTCATAAGAGGAAGGCAGATATTTACTGATATAGATAAATGGTAATTTGAACAACGAAGACAGCAACTTAACAAGATTCAAAATGGCTAGATATCCTTGACTATTTGCTATGCAGAGGGTGGGGGATGCATAATGAATCTAAGATCAAATCTTAGTGAATCTAGTATAGCTTAAAAACAATGAATCATTTGTCATCAGAAAAATGCAAAAAAACCTACTGACCCCTATTGCTAAGGGAACCTATATCACACTTACCAAGGATCTGTCAGCAATGCATCACCACATACTGGGTGAATTCTGCACAGGCATGAAATGACCTTGAGAGGTGTCCCCATTCAAGGAGAATTCTTCTCACTCTGGAAGTAGAAAGGTGGGTATATAAAAAACAGCAATAACAACAAATCTTTAAACCATATCTTCTATCAAGCTTTTCCTCCCTTCATCCAGGTTTTTCTAAAGAGTACAGGAAGGAGAACAAAAACCTGCAAAACTGTGTGGTACCCAAAGGGGGACAAACTTCTTCCTTCATTCCTTCTCCAAGCTAAGGATTGGTCACTGCTCTCATGCTAGTATACCATCCTTGCCACCTCTCTTCTCTACAGGATGTTCTCTTCTCATGTGTCATCTATGTAAAAGCATAAGGAAGGGATGAAATGAACGCTATCAACAAAGACATGTTTTCAATGGAACACTGCAGCCCCACGTGCCCTCCTACTTCAGTCAGAGGACAATATGCCCAGTCCTGACTCCTACATAATAAACATATAATGCCTGTTGCCACTAATTCCCTGGCTGATCAAGCTCTCTGCCAAACTGACAGACTTAGCTGGAT